TAAGCAGGTGATGTACCAGCCTCGATGCACATCCAAATTTCATAGAGTGGAACTGAATGAACACACCCAGTTTTGAGTAATAAAGCTCGTTCAATTCATATGGTTGTAGTACACCATCTTGAACTAKAGTTTCAAACAGATTTTTATCACCTGCATAATAACCTATGCTTTTAGCCGGAGGAGGTTCTTAGCCTTTCGTATAAAGCCTCAACCGAAATTCCATATCAGCCATTATCAGCAACAACCAAAATCTGCAATTCAAATTATAATGGAGTTATAGTCTGCAACAGAAGTCGGCAACAGATGTCTGCAAACCCGGTTTACATGATTTTATGGAAAATTCAGAAAATCATGTAAAAAAACCAACCTTTGAGAGATATCGAAGTTGAAATTGAAGTGAACCAAGCGGTTTCCAGATCTGGAAGAGAGAGAGTAAAAGATATAAAGTTAGTTTTTTACGATTCAAAGAGAGAAAGATAGAAACTATAAAAGGAAGAGAAGAGATATTACCTTTATTCTTCAAACGACGGTGAGGAATAACCAGAACTGGAAAGAGAATGAGAGATAGAAATTAGATTTACGATTCAAAGAGGGAAAGAGAGAAACCATGGGAGGAAGAGAAGAGAGATTACCTTTCTCCTTCAAACGACGGTGAGGCCTCGGCGGCGAGAAGGGGAAGATGCCGACAATCGGTAACCTTGTTTAGAAGGAGCAATCGGCCGCGAGAAGGAGAAGATGAAATGAGGGTGTTGGTTTTTACTTTTTTTTCACCGACGACGAGAAGAAAAAGAGAAGAAGATTACAGAATTTTTAGTTTTTATAGGTAGGGTAAATAAATCGGTTTAATTTGGTTTATGGGTTGGGTAAATAAATCGGTTTAATTGATTGGTTTGTGTGGTTGAAATAAAATTACTCTCGGTTTATTATGAAATTTCGATGGTTTGATTTATTTCGGAATTGAATAAACCGAATAATTCGACATGTAGACTTCATATGTATACTTCATATGTAGAGTTTATATGCACACTTCGCATGTAGACCCCAACTGCAGTCTACTTTTAAGTATTAAATTTTTTGAAATATCTT